CTCACAATATCATAACCACTGATTTTGATCTCTTGATTTCAGACAGACAGGTCAAGCATGGTTTCGTTAACGCTAATTATTTCAAATTGTTGTTTATAAAGATACAGCCTTAGGCCTGTTTCATACGTCGAATTTCGGTCGCGTCGAATGCAATTCAAACAATAGATAATGAAGCTTAATGAGGTTTAATCATCTCATTATCTATTGTCTTAATTGCATTCGACGCGACCAAAATTCGACGTATAAAACAGGCCTTAGTTCATCGATATGCTTGATTAAGCTTCGTACATTTAAATGAGCGATCTTGAATCCTTTAATCGATCAGAATGCTTATTACTATCAGTATTCTTGACCGCGGTATTGACTTGACAGTATTGCGGTGCCCGTGCCATTTTTGGCACCGCATTATATTCTGCCCGTGAGTTTGTTAGTTTGTCCGTTTGTCCGTTTGTCCGTTTGTTAGTTTGTTCGCATCAATACGTTTCCTTAATCGCCTACCAAAAATTCCTTGCACGTGCTCGGAATTTATTAATTATTATTAATCGTGTACACTCATGATGATCGACAGTTTGCTCAGCTTTATCTTTGGTTTTATGCGTCAAACAAGGACAAAAATACAACTGTTCGAATCAGCGTGAAAAGTTGTGTTTACGGATGGAAAATTGATTTCAAAATTGACTTCTATTCTAGGTATTTGTCGCCTTTGAAAGACAAAAGCCGCTCAAAATAATCCTTCACGTTTTCCGAATTCCTTTTTCCGAGGAAAGTTTTCTTTCGAATTACAACTCGAACTCTCACGATTGACTTTTTGCTGCGTCTTATCTCTGGTTTTATGCGCCCAATAAGGACAAATTAAAAATACCACCGTTCGATTCAGTGAAAGAAATTATACTCACAGATGTCAAATGTATTACTAAACTACAGTATTCTAGCAATTTATGGCCTTTGAAAGACAAGCGAAATGGTATTGTTCACAAATCGCTCAAAATTATTAAACATAATTAAAAGTGCAATACATTTGACCTTGATAACTTTCGTATTGTTGCTTTTCTCTTTTTCGGCCGTATGCCAGTGGATTCGTCTCACTTTTCTCTTCATTTTGATAGCATTTTGAGCCCAAAATATTTTATTTTGAAGGCTTTAAAACGCAGTTTCGACTCTAACGTACGGACCAACTGGCGGCCGACAGGAGAATGTAGCGTGCTAAATATTAAACTAGGGTACCTGCAAGGTAGGGATTGCTGCGGGCATCAAAAGAAAATAGAACCACATAACAGTAAAGAGTACAAATTATATCAAGCACAGTGATTACTCGCAGCCTATGCTCGCAGCGACTAGTGAGCTGTGAATGGAACTGAAAAGAAGGACAAGAAACAATATATATTGAAGTAGCAAAGATTGAAGTAGCAAAGACCAGGGGTTAAAGGGCAATCAGAGGTGACAGATATTAAACATGTGCGATTTCATATCAAGTCATATCTGCTAGGTGCATTTATCACATTATATAGACTATATACACAGATTTATCACACTAAGAAACCAAAACTTTATAAAAAATATAGAACTGACAGTGGCCAAAGTCCCAAACAAATGTAAGCGTAACATTAGACATCACATGAAAAAGCTTTAGAAATTCGATAAAAATTCGATGGTGGGTCCTCGGCTCGCGCGCTCACTTTTTCCTCACTAGAAACAACTTCATGTATTAACCAACAGGAGGAATCTAGGGGCCCCATCTAGCGTATTATTTTATATAAGTTTACTTGTAGGCGAAACGCCAGAATTTGTTTTTGCAGGGCACCGCATTTTAGTACTGTGTCTGGTTCTTGTATGAATCGTTAGATTGTTACAAGCCTGGAGATGGCTGTCTAAATTCAGCGGCGTTTATGTGTCAGAATGAAATGACATGTGGAAACATTTAGCAAGATTGAGGCATCAAATGCGATATTATTTTCTTATCCAATCTTTTTTGTTCACGTTATTATTATTGACTGTTGTAGCAGTATTTATTGGAAAGTTTGTATTTCAGCCGTTGGTACTTGTTACGGAATGGCTATGTAAAGCTATATATAGATTGTGTTAAACGTGGTTAAAAAAAATTCTGATGACATTTGCCGACTCTCGACTTTTTACTCTCGATCGACTCTCGACTTTTTACTCTCGACTTTTTACTCTCGACTTTTTACTCTCGACTTTTTACTCTCGACTTTTTACTCTCGACTCTCGACTTTTACTCTCGACTCTCGACTTTTAGATACACTCAAATTTAGACCGTACAGTTTATACTGTTTTTCGAAATATAAGATATCCAAGCAAAAGTTTAAATGTTTTAAATACTGTTTTCTCAAAACAGAACATTTCGTGCTTTGAGATAAGATGGCCAAGACCAACTTGATCAGTTAATGTGTTTTTTATGCATTGTGCTTCAGCAGTTGACATATATAGAGCTCAGAGGTAACATATAAATTATAGCATCTGACCAATGAGAATTTCGCGTCACGATTTGAGACGCAGATATTCAAATTTATTAGTCATCGATGCAGGCTCTCATTTCACCTTGAGAGTCTGTTCGCAGGCTAAGTAAGAGGTAATAGAAGCTCTGCTAAACTGCGGATTGGCTGAAGATTGTTTTGTATTCAAATGAAGCTGCTATGTTTACAGTCAAAACGGAAATACCTGCACACTTCAGTTACTGTAGTTTGTTGTGTAATACTATATTTCTGTAGAAGCTCGGAAAACTGTTTACCGAAAGAAGCCGCTTATTCTTGACTTATATTTGTTTGTTAGCATTGTTTTGGCTGGAATATGCGTTGCAGACTAATCAATAAATTCCACAACAGCTATTAGTTATATTTTAATGCACGATTTTTGAACAAACATTTTTTCAGCAGCTACAGAAATACAGTATTACACAACGAACTACACAAGCGGAAGTGTGCAGGTATTTCCGTTTTGACTGTAATAGACTGTATCATGTCGAGTGCTATCAGTGGGCGGGAGGAACAGAACTTTCATAATCTGAAGAAATCTAAAATATATACAAATCTGACGACGTTTTTCTAACCATTCCACACAATTGACTCGAGAAGTGCTTACGTCACGCAAATTTAATCTATACATTTGGTATACGCAATGCAGTGTGGATACATGTGGATCAAAGCTTTAACACGTAAGAACTTCTAAGGTATTGTGGCATAGTTATTTTCTTAAGAAGGTAAGAGATTGAAAATCTCTTTAACTGAACTAGGGATATAGGAAATGCATATTCACTCGAAAAACTCCAAAAACTGCAAAACAGGGGCTGCAAGAGTCATAACTGCAGCCTAGACCTAGGCCTTCTAGTCTTATTTTAGTCTTATTTATATTTTTTTAATATTCAGCGCTTTTTTACATGAAAAGACTGGGACTAGGTGATTTGGGGGCGGGGCGGAGGAAGCAAGCCTAGAAGGCCTAGTGGATTTCCCAACAACAAGGCCAAAACTGCCCTGAAACTGCCCTGGTTGCGAAATGCCCAATTATTGCGTTCTCAAACAGAATTATTTGTAACTTAACGGCGAATTTAAACCGATACAGGTAAAATAAACTCATTTATAGTATAAACTTACTATTTTTATTTGTATACACGTCTAGAAAATCGGGGTTTTTATCATAAAGTTCGAAGCAACACTATTATTTAATATGTTGACAAGGTGAAGCGAAAGCACAAAATGAGTCAAAATATATACCAAAAGTAGAATCTTTCATGAAATTTTGTCTTATATAGAACTACATTAATATATATTTTCTCAATTTTGGCAAGAAGCAGTCTTGTGTTTGTAAAATATATAAACACATATACAACTAGAGGGCACTCAGAGACTGTATACCTCCGCCCGTTACTCGGAAGTGAAAGGCAACCTTGGAATTTCCTAAGAAATCCACTTTGCAATTCTTAAGCATAAAAGATTTTAGGCCCCCGCGAATTGAAATCGAATTGCTAATAGATCATATTACTGTTGTTGTACTGTACAGGGTATCTCAAAAAAACCCAGAATCATTGAAATTGACGTATTGTTCGATATTCAATGCCCTAGCACTAAGTTAATCCCACGAGTGCATAAAAGATTGACATAACTGCTATAATGAATGCTAATACTCAGCGTAAACTTGTTATGTCAGGCATAAAGTACTAAACCCACGAATGCATATTACGCATATTACAATTTACGAAGCATTTTTAAATTCCCATGAGCAAACAAACGTTCACTTTACAAAGATATTTTAATTTTTTAAAACAAATTAATCACCCTGTCAAAATCCTTTGTGTTACGGCATTGAAATTCGAACAATACGTTATTTCAATGATTTTGGGTTTTTTTGAGACACCCTGTACAGTACTTGTAAAATAAAAACTTATTAAGTGTCATTAAATAAATGCATAAATTTTGCTTTATGCACTCGCGCGTGCAGTAATTTTCACAGTTGTGCTATTTTAAATTCCCAGGCAGCTAAAATCTTTTGTCTTTAAAACAATGTCGATTTCTTGGGAAATTCCGGGGTTGCGTTCTTTTTATACACCCTGTATTGAAGTAATCTAATGTTGTTAGAATTTGAATGGACTGGCACTTTGCTGAACGTAATAATGCGTAACTCCGTAAGCCTTGTTTTAGACATTGAATTTCGGTCGCGTGAAATGCAACTAAGGCAGCGTTTACACTGTACCGTTTTCGTAGCGTTCTCGTATTGTTCTTAATCCTCAAGGGAACGCAAGACAATAGTCTAGTTCTCTCGAACAATACGAGAACGCTACGAAAACGGTACAGTGTAAACGCTGCCTAAGACAATAGATAATGAAGGCCGAAGCTTAATGAGGTTTATCATCTCATTATTGTCTTAGGCAGCGTTTACACTGTACCGTTTCCGTAGCGTTCTCGTATTGTTCGAGAGAACTAGACTATTGTCTTGCGTTCCCTTGAGGATTAAGAACAATACGAGAACGCTACGAAAACGGTACAGTGTAAACGCTGCCTTAGTACTGCGTGCATAAATTATACACGTCCTAATTACGCATTCAGTAATATTTTTTTTAATTTACCGGGAAAAGCAAGACAAAATTTTGATCATTCTCGTTCAATTTTTAACCAAATTCAGCCAAATTTTAATCAGTTCTTCCTTAGCCGATGGGAAATGCATTCAAAAAATTTCGTATGAATATGTTTGGTATTTCTTGAGTTATCGTGCTCACAGACAAACACACACACACACACACACACACACATACACACACACATACATACATACAAACCCAGATGATTACATAACCTCCTGGCGGAGGTAATTATAATTTATTAAATAAAACGGATACATACTGTATATTATTAGGGCGTTGTGAAAACCCGGAATGCCGGAATATCACGGAATATGACGGAATATCACGGAATATGGCGGAATATCACGGAATATGGCGGAATATCACGGAATATCACGACATTTTCCTGGAATATACCGGAAATCACAATATTTTCCGATGGTAGCCATGCGACTGTTTATAAACATGGACGTCTGACAACATATTTTAGTACAAAAGTGATGGGTCTTTCCCATTTTGACGGTAAGTAACAAAAAGTAACTCCATACTGGAAGTTTTATATGTTGTTCATATCATTATTATGAGTAGTGTTCACCAAAAATATTGAATCAATATGATTAATTCCGCCTGAGTACAGCGTCTTGAAAACAAAAGTGCTGACGTCAGCATTATTTTCGAACACCTTCAGAACTGTGTTATACACAAATTTAGTTAAAATTGACCATTTTATACCACCAAGCATTTATCCAAAAATCAAATGCTAGAATAAAGGCAAGTTTGAGCCAATTGTTTATATCAGGTAAGAAGTTCCGTCTAAATTTTGTGTATAAAAGGCTCGTTCACACTTGCAATTTTTACTGCGATTTTAGGTGCGATTTTCACTGAGAAGAACTAGCTGATGGATGTGAACGAGTGGATAAGTTATGAATGTTTTTTATTTATTTATTTATAATTATATTTATCCAGGATACCCACATCACTAATGTGTTTTTCAGTGGGGTCATGCATGATACAATCATTAACAAAATTTACTCATATAAATATATACAATTAATATACAACGTCACGATATAAAGAAACGAATAATTAACTATATCTAATAAGTACAGCTAAGAATAGTTATATGGTATGTGACCTTAGTAAAGACTTAAATTGACTCAAAGAATCAGTGTTTCTGACGGAAACGTCCAAGTTGTTAAAGTCTTTCGAAGCGAGGTAGGTTGGTTTATGTTTGCCCCAGTTCGTGTTGACTTTCGGGAGATGTAGGTTGTTACACGATCTTGTACTGTGGGAATGGATTCTGCTGTTAGTTGTGAGATTGAAGTCGAAATCTATCAGTCCATTAGTGCATTTGTAGATAAAGATACAACGATGTTTATATCTGCGAGATGAGAGAGTTGACCAGTGTAATGTAGCGAGAGCTTCGGTTGCCGACGAAAGAGGAGGGAGATCTAGTATTAATTTAGCTGCTTTATTTTCCAAACTTTGCAAGGAGTTCATGAGTTCTGAATTGAATGTCATTAAACGCATTTAAAACCTTGTTTCGCGGCAGACCTCAACATAATACTTAAGTCTTATCATATTATGTGGTGTACTGTGTAATATGTAATGTGTAATGTGTAATTTGTAATTTGTAACTATATACTAATTGTAATTATTAACCTAACTTTTTTTGTAAATATGTATTGTGCAACGCCCCCTTGGAAAACAGCTCTTATCTATGCTGAAGGGCTACCGTTGTTTTTAAAGAAGATTAAATAATAATAATAATAATAATAATAATAACAATAACTAAAACCCTGACCTCACCTTTGCCATCAACGCAGTAAATCGCGCATGCGCAAGTGTACGGCAATGGCGGGGGCAATGTCTGTCAAAATAATAGGAGTAAATACGGAAAAAGAAAAGTATTTACTAATTCGAGGTGTCCACCCTTTCGTGAAGGTAAAATTCAAGGAAATTTCCCGGATTTTCAAGGTTTCAGTAAATGCAAGGACCTAGAACTGGGGAAAATCTTTGAAAATGGGACAGATTTGCCGTAAATAAATCACTTTATTCAGTAATTTTAATCAAAATCACTAATGTTGGCACAGCTGGAGGTTAAGGAATTAATTGCAGGACTTTCAAGGATTTCTACTGATTTTCAAGGACTTTCCAATATTTTCAAGACCCGTGAACACCAGCCTCGTCGCCAGGCTCCAACTGTCTCACGCCTCAACCAACGGGACTTCGTGGAATTTCGCAGGGCTCTTCCATTTCCCCCACGCGTGTCCTCCCGCGTGTTCTTCACGCAACTGCGTCTACAATTAAAAGCGCCAGGGGACGAGGCTGCGTGGACATCCTGTACTATAAGGAAACGGCTGAGCCCTATGGTCTAAGCTCGGAAGTCTCACCGCATCTTCCTTGTGACAAGAAAAAGTTATACTGAGTTTACACCATTGTAATTTTCTTTACACTTTCTGCTATATAGGGTCGTGATGAAAATCTATTTCCAGTCTAGCTTTTGAGTACAAGCAGTCAATACGTACGTTTGACCGTGGTGTTACCTTCATTTTTTACGGGAAGAGTATACTAAATATAAAAACAAACGGGGGAAAATCAAGGATCGTAGGTCTCATTCCTTCATACATGTTGCCAAAATTTAATCCCATCTTGCATTGTTGGCCTTGTGCTAGGCTTTCTTCTTATACAAGCGTCTACCAATCCTTTGATATTGTCATTTGGAATTCTATCTATTTGATTCTTTCGCCCAACTTGACTAGCATCAGGTTGTTCACAAATGGACATTTCACATACCAGTACGCCATAGCTAAAGACATCGATCTATATAAATGATACCAAGAACATTATAGAAACACTAAAAACATTGACATCTCAACTTCTAAATTTATTTATTACTGATATATTTAACAAATATGAAACATTTTCCGTGTTGATATACAGTTATATCAACACGAGTGGAATTGGGGAAACGAGAAATTGTATGGAAACACGACGCCCGAAGGGCGGAGTGTTTTCATACAATTTCGAGTTTTCCCAACTTCCACGAGTGTTGATATAACTATATATCAATACGGAAAAAATGTTTTATATTTTTTTATAATATAGCAATGTCAAAAGCCCGAAGGATAAGAAAAATTTCCGTGTTTACAAGCGGCGGAAAATTTCCCGTGTTGACATTGAGTTATATCAACACGGCTCTTAGCCAATCAGCGTTCAGAATTTACAAATGCTATATTATAATTAGCAAATATAAAACATTTTCCGTGTTGATATGCAGTTACATCAACACAGGTGGAAATTGAGAAAACGAGAAATGTTCCGGACCTGTCTATTTCCTAGTTGATATTTGTTAAGTTATGCTCATAATACTTCATATAATAATAATGTAATTAGTTGTGATTTTAGTTCAGTTAACCAATGATATGATTAAGACAATGAATACAATATATTTCCTGTAATACCATATATAGCATAATTAACAATTATTCTGACCAATTGTAATTTAGCACATTGTAACATAAACGCACTTGATGTAAAATAAAACTTAGTTCTTGTATGCTTCCACAGAGTGTGTATCTCTTGTAATACAGAATGACAATTATATAATAATGACAACTACAACGAACTCAACAATATTTTTAATACATGTGCCGGTGCTCTTTCATCTTTCCTCTAACTTTTCTCTAAATTTGCCCAATTGTTATATATAAAAAGTTTATTTACAAGTTTATCCATTTTTTTCTTATTTTTTTTTTGGAGGGGGGCTTATTTTTTTGGTGGGGGCTTAACGGGAGAGACTTTTTTGGGAATGGGGCTATAGTCCTTCTGCCCCTCCGTTCCGCCGCCACAAATTCCTGATGTGCAGCGTAATAGCAACGGCTAACTTTAGGGAATGAGGAACTCGAAAATGAAGGGGGATTAAGGAATGAAGCATAAAGATAATATTATGAATAACGTTCATTCATGGTTCAATAGTACGAATGTGAGATGATCGCCTTTCACCGAATGAAGATATTACTGCCATATCAGACGTTCTTATGTTTCGAGTTAATAGCGCTTATTAATTAAATTATTTCTGCGCCAATTTATAGCCCGCTATATAGCTCTCTGTAAAGCGGGGAAATGGATAAATTTAACTGTGTATTCTTAGAACGTAAGTTGTAATGTTTAATAAAGCTAGCAGCGTGTGCCGTACCAACACCTTTGCTTTTGGACATGGTAACCACAAGGCATATTCATATTCAACGAACGACGTTCCGTGGAATGAGGTTTATCAGTTTTTCCTTCTTGAAAGTATATGTAGCTATGGGAAATCTAAAACGCGGAGGACTTTTAAAGGACATAGGATACCGTCTGAGAAATTGGACTCAAGGAAATCAAAGAAATTGGATTCAAAGAAATTGTTTTAAATTAAAGCAGCTTCTATCAAACTTAAAGAAATCTATAACATTTTTATATAATTTTATATACTTACCTTTGGATCATGTTTAGTAAAACTGGCTTCAGGTGCAGCGTAAAGTGCTGCTCCAGGACATTTTGTCTTGCACGCTTCCATGAAATTTGCTGCACCATAATCGGATACTTTCGCTCTTCTTACCGCGCCATTTTCAATCCATAACAATACGTTGGCACTACCAATATCACGGTGGATAATTGGGTTTGGCTTTTTTGAATGAAGGTAGTTCAAGCCACGTGCAACATCCAGGGAAATTGATTTAACTTCCTGATACTCCAACCGCGATTTTTCTTTTTTACGTTGTTCAATCAGTGTACGCAAAGCCATATCCATCAGTTCTGTTACAATTAACAGATTATTGTGACTATTCCTTGTCGCACATATAAACTGTAGTAAGTTCGGATGGCGACATTGCGATGCGATAGTAATTTCGCGTTCGAGAATTCGCAAGTTATGTGCAGATAAAATTGCTTCGTGAAATCCTTTAACCGCCACCTTAGTTCCATTAAAGTCTCCTTTGTAAACAGCACCATAAGCACCTCTTCCTATTTCTTCGTTGGAAAGCGCTACTGATCCACTTTCTGTAATCAAGTCGGGCATTTTGTCTTGTTGAAGTTGGAGAAGTTTGCTATTCATGTTAGCATTCTCTTCTTGAAGATGTAAAATTTCGTTGTTCATTTGAATTTTCTCTTGTTGAAGTTCTTGCATTGCATTAATCGTGGTATTCTTCTCTTCTTGGAGTTGCTGAATCTCTTTGGTCCTGTTATTTCTTTGTTTGTTTAGTTTCAAAATTTTGTTGTTCATTTGAATTTTCTCTTGTTGAAGTTCCTGTATTTCGCTACTAGTACGATTCCTCTCTTCTTGAAGTTGCTGAATCTCGCTACTCTTGGTACTGTTCTGGTCTTGAAGTTGTAAAATGTCGTTCTTCATTTGCCTTTTCTCTTGTTGAAGTTCTTGCATTTTGTTATTCGTACGATTCTTCTCTCCTTGAAGTTGTTGAATCTCGCTGCTCTTGTTACTGTTCTGTTCTTGAAGTTGTAAAATTTCGTTGTTCATTTGCCTTTTTTCTTGTTGAAGTTCTTGCATTTCGTTACTCGTACGATTCCTCTCTTCTTGAAGTTGTTGAATCTCGCTGCTCTTGTTACTGTTCTGGTCTTGAAGTTGTAAAATTTCGTTGTTCATTTTAATTTTCTCTTGTTGAAGTTCTTGCACTTCGCCATTGATATGATCTTTCTCTTCTTGAAGTTTCAGAATCTCGCTGCTCTTGTTACTGTTCTGGCCTTGAAGTTGTAAAATTTCGTTGTTTATTTGCTTTTTCTCTTGTTGAAGTTCTTGCATTTCGTTACTCGTACGATTCTTATCTTCTTGAAGTAGTTGTATCTCGCTGCTCTTGTTACTGTTCTGGTCTTGAAGTTGTAAAATTTCGTTCTTCATTTGCCTTTTCTCTTGTTGAAGTTCTTGCATTTCGTTACTCGTACGACTCTTATCTTCTTGAAGTTGTTAAATCTCGCTACTCTTGTTACTGTTCTGGTCTTGAAGTTGTAAAATTTCGTTCTTCATTTGCCTTTTCTCTTGTTGAAGTTCTTGTATTTCGTTACTCGTACGATTCTTCTGTTCTTGAAGTTGTTGAATTTCGCTGCTCTTGTTACTGTTCTGTTCTTGAAGTTGTAAAATTTCGTTGTTTATTTCAATTTTCTCTTGTTGAAGTTCTTGCACTTTGCCATTGATATGATCTTTCTCTTCTTGAAGTTGCCGAATCTCGCTGCTCTTGTTACTGTTCTGGTCTTGAAGTTGTAAAATTTCGTTCTTCATTTGCCTTTTCTCTTGTTGAAGTTCTTGTATTTCGTTACTCGTACGATTCTTCTGTTCTTGAAGTTGTTGAATTTCGCTGCTCTTGTTACTGTTCTGTTCTTGAAGTTGTAAAATTTCGTTGTTTATTTCAATTTTCTCTTGTTGAAGTTCTTGCACTTTGCCATTGATATGATCTTTCTCTTCTTGAAGTTGCCGAATCTCGCTGCTCTTGTTACTGTTCTGGTCTTGAAGTTGTAAAATTTCGTTGTTCATTTCAATTTTATCTTGTTGAAGTTCTTGCACTTCGCCATTGATATGATCTTTCTCTTCTTGAAGTTGCTGAATTTCTCTGCTTTTGCCATTGTTTCGTTCTTGAAGTTGCTGAATTTCATCATGGCTTTCTGGTTGCAGTAGCTGCCTTTCGTTGCTTGTTAAAATTGTCTCTTCTTGATGTTGCTGCATTTCATTGCTTATATCACTGTTTTCTCGTTGAAGTTTCTGTATTGCATTGTTCATATAATTTCTCTCTTCCCCAAGTTGCTGAATGTGACTTTTTAATTGTTGAACTTCTTGTGTTTCGTTACTCATATGATTTTCCTTTTCTTGAAGTTGTTGAATCTCGCTGATTTTGTTATTATTCTGTTCTTCAAGTTGTAAAATCTCTTTGTTTAATTGACTTTGAAGTTCCTGAATTTTCGTCAAGTGCTGCATTTCCCGATTAAGTAGGGCGATTTCGCTTTCTAGTATTTTTTGTTTAATTAGCAATCCTAACCGTTTATTAGCTGCTTGACCAAGCCAATCCCTCATAAACTTTAATTTCTCGCATTTTTTAGTCTGTTCTTGAAGTCCCTTACTTTGCCTCTCAAATTGAACATGACGTTTTATAGCATCTGCGGAATGGTTAGAAAAAATAAAATAAAATATATAAATTATTAAGCTTGCGACACTCGTGGGAATATTTAATGTTAGTATAGAGGACGTATAAAAAGAACAGAGTGTATTTTTTATTCTTAATGTTGAAATGTTCTGAATACTATAGTATAGCCCAGAGCCCGCGCGCGTAGCGAAGGTATACTAATTCTGCTTGACTATTAACAGGTAGCTATGAAAAGGAATTCTAGCAGATTGAAAAGTTCATCAATGATCGGTTCGTGTATGCATGGTGGCATTGAGCTGAATTAAAACGCCACTTCCAACCGGAAATTTGGAGCCAAACTTGAAGGCCAGTTCTGGCTAACTGGTCACACATAAATATGCACTCTTGAAAACCAGCTTAAAATTGAAAAAAAATTAGATTTTTGACAGGACTCAAAGCTTTTTATTAATCCTTTTATTCATGTAAAACTACCTAATAGAATTTACTTTTGTTTGTTTCTTGTTTTCTTATGAAGAGCATTCTCTTTGTGCGTTTCGGCTTGGAAATTTTGCGACTAGTTTTTCGTTTCACACAGCGATTTGCTTTGTTTATCATAGAAATAGTTTCACAGAAATAAACTGATGTATACCTATTACTGCAAAAAGAGTCTTGCTTTTTCAAAAGATTAAATGATAGGCTATAAATATATGAAGAATAATTTGATCGATTTGTCAATAATAATAATAATAATAATAATAATAATAATACAATAATCCTACTACATTAATAACTAATTACTAGTATATACAAGGAAGTGAGTCTAAATTGTTGTAGTATGTTATAGTATATGTTATAGTAAGAATTTATGGTAAAAGTCTAAGCCTAAATTTTGGCAAGAGAATTGTCTACTTCGAAGTCCGTTTCTTGAACGTTCGTTGTTATCCTCCTGGGTGCTCTAGTCCCTCTGAGACAAAGTAGAGCTGACCGCAAGATGGCAAAGGAGACCTTGGCTCGTATCCAGGATAATAATAATAATAATAATAATAATAATAATAATAATAATAATAATAATAATAATAATAATAATAATAATAATAATAATAATAATAATAATAATATAATAATAATAATAATAATAATGGAAACTTTATTTAATTTTCTAAACTTACAACTGCAAATCTCACTATATAAGGTAATTTACAATTGGCAACTTGATATATTACTATTAAATGATTTTATAACGCACGATTATATTTACTCTATTACTCTATATACATACTTATACAATAAAAATTTTAGAGTTTATTATTGAATCCAAAATTTATAGATTGTAAAATATCAAGTCGAAATATTTCAATTAAACTTCAGACATGTGCAGACCACGTCGTGCTCTGCTCGATGTCAAATAATAATAATAATGATAATAATAATAATAATAATAATAATGAAAACTTTATTGAAAATCTCACTACTGACTTAGGTTATTTACAATTGGCTACATGAATCACAGAGTACTACATATGTACTATTTACAGTAAAAACAAGAATAAAATGGGTATATGATTATATATATTGTTATATGTAGTTATTAATTTAAATGTTTAACAATTCAGGGTTTGTCCGCTCTTTGTTTCGACAGAAAAAAATATAGTACGTCGCTCTAATGGCATAAGACGTCATCTTTTTTATGCAGTAATGTTGCTGCTTTTTATCCATTCCTATAGTGTCTAACATTTCTAAAAAGGTGAAGCATTCTTTGTCAAACACACCAAGAGAGCTCATTGATAGGTTTACAAATTTAACAGAATTAAAGTGACCCCTTTGATCTTCAATTAGATCTTTGTATTTAGCTTTTTTGCGTTCAACGTTATTATGTAGATTAGATTCAAACCCGACAGTAAGTTCAACGACATAAAGATCTTCATTTGGGGTAATTAGGAGTAAGTCCGGTCGATATAGGTCACCAGTTATAATTGACGGGCTTTTGTGGCCGGATAGGTCAGCATAAAATTGACATGGATTTGTTGTTTGAAACGTTTCAGCGAGAAAGTTTAAAATAGAATCATGTCTCCAAGTAAAGCGCTGAAGGTAGCAGCCGGCTACCACGTGTAATAGGGTTTCAGGGCACAAACAAAAGAAACATTCGGGACTTGAAGCTAAACCCCATCTTGTAAGGTTTTTTCGCGTAGGAAGAGAGTTATTTATGTAACGGACGGTGAAGTTGAAAATGTTCTTTGGCAGTTTTGATTGAGCGGCAGACCAAAGTGTGTTTAACTTTGAAAAGGAAAACTTTGCAACATTGAACCTTGACAAATTAAACGGTGTTGAAGCTTATCTTCCTGCCCAGAATGAAAATCCTTGAGAACTTCCTTTGTTGAATTATATATGTCGTACTGAATATTAGTGTGATTGTTAGTTGATTTCCAGAGTTCTTTTATGGAATCATTTGGGGATGTTTTTAAGGCGTTGCGTAGGACAGTTTGACACTGGATAAATTTGACTGATGCAGGGAGGATATTCAGACCGAATTTGTTATGGTTAGATAAATATTACTTAATGTTCCAGAAATGGGTATTTCAAGCCACTTTCTGATGTATTGATTAATCACAGAATCGATTGTTTCCGTTACCCAGGTTTTCGACAGGGGTGCAACAGTGAGATGCCAGGATATTTTGGATAGAACGTAGCGGTTATATAGAATAAGTTTGTTTTTTGGGTGTAGAGGTTTATGGTCGATATCAGACATTAGTTCATCAATGAGGGACATTAGTTCAGATTTGTGTTCTTGGTCAGACATATCAAAATCAAAGAATCTTTCTAGATATTTAAAAGATTCTCCCATTTGGATAGTAGGTATGAGACCATTGTTAATTAGTAGTTTCGGTAAGTACTGAACGGATTTTGTCAAAATTTTCTTGATGCCAAAGGTGCTACATTTATCAACTCTGATTATCATGTTCGACCATTGACACCAGATTGTGAATCGGTTTAAGAGGTGTTGGTTTTCATAATCTTGGCCAGTAATAACAGCCGCGTCATCAGCGAATTGAAACCAGTGAATGGGATCGAGGAAGTTAAACATGAAACCAAATTGACGGTACTTGTCAGCTTTTATGTGCTGAATGAAAGTATTAAAGCACATGTTGAACAGCAGAGGGCTAAGACAATCGCCTTGTAGCACACCACGGCCAACAGTTATGAACGGAGTGCGGAATTCAGAAGTTATCACGGAAGTTTTAAAATCAGTATATAAACTTTTGATAACATTTTTGATGTGGTCAGGAATATGATGATATTCAAGTATAGATTGAATTAAGTTGTGATGAGCTTCACCAAAAGCATTCTTAAGGTCAAGGAGAGTGATGACAAGAGAGCGCTGTTTAAATCCGTGCTTTGTTTATAATATTCGCCATTTGAGTAGTGTGCTCCATAGTACCTGAAAGATTTGGTGTGAAGCCCTTTTGTATGTTATGTTCGATATAATTATTTGCGGCGAGGAAGGAATACAGTGAATTACGGAGACAGGATGTAAATACTTTCAAAGGAATTGATTCAAGTGTAATAGGTCGGAAATTGGAGGGATCGCTAGCTTCGCCTTTTTTTGTGAATAAGACTGGTACAAGCTCTTTTCCATTCAGAAGGGATGGTAGCAGATAACCAGACAGCCCGTATAAGTTCGGGGAGATAAGTTCTAAGGTAAGAACAGCGTTTAAAACATATTATTGAGAGCTGATCGAGAGGGCAAGGAGAACCAGATGCTTTCATTTTACGTATTACAGCTGTAATTTGTTGATAGGTTGGGGGGTCAAGTTCAAATTGAATTTGAGGATTACATAACTTAGGAATCCAACTTGGAATTTGAAATAATTTAGTCGGATGAATTTCTGCCAGTATTTTCCTGAAGTAATTGAGGATTCTGGCATGCTGAAGGATGGTAATACTGTCCGTTTTGTTTTAAGCACGTTTTTTACATAACCCCAGAAATTGCGCTCAAGATATTTATCGTGATTAAATGACTCGTCATGCATGGTTTGTGTCTGTCTGAGTGTTCTTGTTATTGTCACGCAGCTTATTGCGCAAAGCACGCGAAACATACTTTATTCCTGTCTTTGTTTCGCTGACAGAATACATAATATGATGTGCGAATACAAATACCAATGATTTTCTTTTTAATGTATTTAATTTGTTGTTCATCGAACTTCATTTCCTTGAGCATATCAGCTAAGGTGTTCGTCGATTTACCAAAAACGCCTAGCGAGCTTATGGATACATTAACAAATTTTACCTTATCATAGTTACTTTCTTGATCTGAAATAAGCGGCAGGTATTTTTTATGTTTTCGATCTGAGTTAGAGTTAAGATTTGTTTCAAAGCCAACAGTCAGTTCCAAAACATATAAAACTTTATTTTCAATTGCCAAGAGAAGGTCTGGACGTAACTGATCACCAGTGATAACTGACGGAGTAATAAAACCAGAGATGACATGTAGGAGTGACTCAGGAGAAGAGCAAAAGGAACAATCAGCAGACGATGACAGTAGTAATATAGGGGCCGTTCGGGCCGGATTTTTGAGGGTGCGTAAGGGTGCGCTAATTAATATTCATACAAATGAGGGTGCGTAAGGATGTTGAGGGTGCACTAATTAATACTCGTACAAATGAGGGTGCGTAGTGACGTCACTCGTTAACATACGTCATAATTATATGCAATGACGTCACGCGGGCGAGCTTAAACACGATCGGGCGAAACTTGCTGACTACGCATTTTTTAGCGTCCCCCACGTTTATGATACAATTGAGGGATTGAATGTGGCGCTTCAAATCTACAATTAAACTAATATTTAAATCCCGGTCTGCCATATGAGGTCTATATACGAGAGAATATGTTGCTGTTTAGAGTTATATAAACACATGGAAATTAGAGGTTATGATATATAATTGTCAAGCGATTTCTACATTTTATTGCTAGTTTTTTACTAAAACTCGGATAAGGTTAATAAATTTAAGCTATATTAAAGCACACCGGTTGCTATGTGTTGTTAGGGTGACACTAATTAAAGGATTAACTTTTATCAGAGATTTGCATTTTTCTACTGTGTGGATAAATACGGGTAGATTAGGATATTCATTGCGCGGGCGTCGCGGGTTATCCGTGCGGGAAGAGAGAAAGCGATTTAGACAAGACAGGAGCGTTTTGCAGCCAAAGTTGAAAGGCTTTGTGTGGAATCCTGTAATGGTTGTCAAGTCAGTCATCCTAGTCAAAGACAACATGACTGCCGCATGATGAACGAAAACGAACGAGGGCAAATAAGGAATCTATTCGTCACAAAAATCATATTTTAAACATATTTTAGACATATTTTAAACTAAACAGTTCCTAATCCCGAGTTGTCAACGTCGTTGTTAAGGTCAATATTTACATGTTGTTCAACGTTATTTTAGCAAATATTCTACATACATATATACTGTTAAGATGATCATAAGTAAGCTTATCAAGAATATACGTTAGAATTGGAACAGTTGTAATATATTTTGCGATAAAAACATGTAATCGTCATATACGTTGTTATGTGTTACCAAGTCATTAGCGACGCTTGCGTGCATGCATATATTAACGTACAACATATTTGTACACTAATCAGGCGGGCGGATCGCGCGGGCGGAAAGAGCGGGCTTTGCCGGCAAAAATTACACAATATTTCAGTTTTTAAGTACATTTATTTCTTCAAAACGTTTTACAAAATTATGTTTCTAATATATATCGTCACTTGTTTCAGGGGTTTCGCTATCAGATTCTTCATCTTAGCTGCTTTCATCATCGTGGCTGCTTTCATCTTCCGTAATCCATTTGGTATGTCTTGGGACTGTTATATGAGAACACAGTTTTAACCTCTTTGTAGTTGATAAATTACTTCGTTGGCCTTGCCTTCTCTTGCTTCCGCGCCCTGCTTGTTGTAGTAGGGCTTTTGCTCCTTGTTCGGCAAAGTCTTTAACAACGTCACCTCCGTGAGTCTTTACAGATTCTTTTACATTTTTTCCTTGGAGTACATCTTGACCAACTTCTGTGGCTGCTTGCAATGCTCTTTTGCCAACAACTTTAGCGCCTTGTTTGAACAGAGGGATAGCATATCTCGCAAGGCTCTTGAAAATACTTCCGATCCCGTATCCTCTTTGAAAACGTGCACCACGATACCCAGCGATGTTTCCGCCACGCTGCTGTCTCAAGAAATGGTCTCTCAGTAGTTTTTCGTCTACAACAAGTGTACCTCTCGGCATGTTGATGTGTTCAGTTCAACTTCACGCAGTCAACTAATCAAATATCACTTTGGTCGCCTATTTTATGGTTAAAGGACTGCCTTTCATCCGTTCTGATATCTATAATTTCACCTCGGTGACAATGTGGGCAGCTGGTGATTACATGTGTAAAATCTCCTTTGGACACTTGAAAATCACAGATCATACAGCGACAGTTTTTACAATTCGGATAAAAATCTGTCCATGTGCATACGGAGCACGTACTCAAATGGGAGATGTATATATCTTTGTTATAACTGTTACAAGTTGCGTCAGCATCAGATTGTGTATACTGAGGGGACCACTTGTGGGCTAACACAGAAAGGACATGTCCATTTAAGATTAGGCTTTTATCAATTTCCAATTCTGCAAGACCTTTTATAAAAATACTCAATCCAGTTGGTTCGGGAATATCTGGATGATAAGGCGTCACGCAATATTTCAGAAGGTCTATAATGTCAGTGCCTCGTATATTATGTCTTCTGTAAACGATTTCTCCTTTTCCATTCCAAGTCAAAATCCCCGTAGAGGTTAAAATAGAATGAAGGATTTCTTCGGCTTCGTGTTCATCATCAACGTCAAGATATTTGAGAATGTCTTCAAGTCTCCACTGTTCAGGAGATGATCGGTTGTCGCTATCCATGATTGGAATGAGGAGATGTCCTTCATACTTTTTATTTTATATTAATTCTGCAAGGCCTTCTAAAAGTGGTCCAAGTACCAATCCCAGGAAGCCACTTCCCCGCTGAACAAGAATTTCCTTTTTCGTCTTAAAATTTCTATCTCTGTCTGCTAAATCAGCTAGATCTTGTTCGAAAGGTCTGAGTCTGTCCTTTGTTTCTTTAGAGTATGTGAAATTTTCTATACAATGACACAAGCATCGAATTTGCTCAGCTGATGTAGAATTAAGAAGAGCTTGCTGTTGAGTTGGATGAGAAGTACATAAGAGTTCTACAAATGGTCTGTGTTCCATATAACTGCTAGTCATCTCTGTTCGGCGCGCGGTCAGCAACGGAATGAAGATTTAGTTGGAAATAACACATATATAAGGATCGGCTCGCCCTCTATAGTTTAGGTCTAAACAATAGTCTTTACTATAGTCTTTCATAGTCTTTACTATAGTCTTTCATAGTCTTTACTATAGTCTTTCATAGTCAGGACTATAGTCTTTCATAGTCAGGACTATAGTCTTTCATAGTCTTTAATATAATCTTTCATAGTCTTTACTATAGTCTTTCATAGTCAGGACTATAGTCTTTCATAGTCTTTACTATAGTCTTCGTAGTCATGACTATAGTCTTTCATAGCCAGGACTATAGTCTTTCATAGTCAGGACTATAGTCTTTCATAGTTAGGACTATAGTCTTTCATAGTCAGGACTATAGTCTTTCATAGTTAGGACTATAGTCTTTCATAGTCAGGACTATAGTCTTTCATAGTCAGGACTATAGTCTTTCATAGTTAGGACTATGGTCTTTCATAGTTAGGACTATAGTCTTTCATAGTCAGGACTATAGTCTTTCATAGTCAGGACTATAGTCTTTCATAGTCAGGACTATAGTCTTTCATAGTTAGGATAGTCTTTCATAGTCAGGACTATAGTCTTTCATAGTTAGGACTATAGTCTTTCATAGTTAGGACTATAGTCTTTCATAGTCAGGACTATAGTCTTTCATAGTCAGGACTATAGTCTTTCATAGTCTTTACTATAATCTTCGTAGGACTATAGTCTTTCATAGTCAGGACTATAGTCTTTCATAGTCAGGACTATAGTCTTTCATAGTTAGACTATAGTCTTTCATAGTCAGGACTATAGTCTTTCATAGTCTTTACTATAGTCTTTCATAGTCAGGACTATAGTCTTTCATAGTCAAGACTATAGTCTTTCATAGTTAGGACTATGGTCTTTCATAGTCAGGACTATAGTCTTTCATAGTTAGGACTATAGTCTTTCATAGTTAGGACTATAGTCTTTCATAGTCAGGACTATAGTCTTTCATAGTCAAGACTATAGTCTTTCATAGTTAGGACTATGGTCTTTCATAGTCAGGACTATAGTCTTTCATAGTCTTTACAATAGTCTTCATAGACGCGACAATAACCAACGGGATAAATACACCTCTTCACTCTTGCTTTAAATCATTTTACACTGACTCTTGAGAAGTAAACATGTCTTATGAATGCGACATCTGCGGTAAAACGTTTGCAAATGCGAGTAATCTCCTTCGCCACAAGAAGGTTATCCATGCATATGGATCTCGTAATCTTGGGCAGCAAACTCTCACGGTGAATGGGGTTACAGTCATGCAGCATCCCTTTACATGTATCGTAGCTGGGTGCACCCAAAGCGGCAAGACTGTATGGGTAAAATCTCTCTTGGAGAATGCACAGAAAACTATAAGTCCACCTCCTCAACGTATCATTTGGTGTTATGGTCAATGGCAACCCTCCTATTTTGATATGATGAGAACAATGCCTGGAATCGAGTTTAATGAAGGCATCCCCGACGATATCGACAATGCGGATTACTTGGACGTATCGCAACGGAATTTGATCGTATTGGATGATCTTATGTCTCAATCTGGCAAAGATAAACGTATTTCCGATCTTTTTACGAAAGGAAGTCATCATCGAAATTTGTCTGTCATCTATATTGTCCAAAATATATTTCATCAGGGCAAAGAAATGAGAAATATTAGTCTAAACTCGCATTATATCGTATTGTTCAAGTCACCAAGAGATAAACAACAAATTTCTATACTTGCAAGGCAAATAAATCCCAGCAAAGTACAAGAATTTATGAGGAGTTATGAAGATGCTACGAGCCGGCCTCACGGGTATTTGATGTTGGATTTAAAGCCGACAACGAGAGACGAAGATCGACTCAAGACAAACGTACTTCCCGGCGAGATTGCAAAGTTTT